TACTCTTTCAGTCCTTTTTCTTCACAATCTGGCTCTCTCCAAATGCACCAGAGCTGTAAATTCTAGCTTGCATGGCCACTGGCCCGAGAATACACACGGAGGAAACAAAGAGATCTACCCCTTGCAACCCCTTCAGACTTTGCGGATCCAGCCTCTGATCTGTAGCTTCTGAACCCCAAGCAGCACATCGGTAGTTGAGTAGTTTGAATAGCAGAAGGAGGACTGTTCTGCTGTAGGACCAGGCTTTCCTAAGCATCAGAATTATGAAGAGTACTGACTGAGGTAGGAAGTAGGCATGATAAGTAAATTTTTGGAAACTTTGTAAAACAGAATCAGGCTAAAGACAACATAGCATTTCAACCTGTGTTCCAATCTCCCCTGTGTCAGAACCTGTGACTGAACTGCTTTCTCGTATACATCAAGCTTAACTTAAACCTCCCACTATTCTTCCGATCTATCTCTATTAAGCTGTGCTTCTTGGCTTCAGATGCATCATGCAGCTTGTCTAAGTCTTTGGCTCTACTCTATTTGGTCACCATCCTTCCTTTTCAATCCCCTCAGTCTCATTAAAGTACAAGTATAAGTATAATCTTTATTGTCATTGTACTTAAATACAATGAAATTGGTTCATGGGAAGGAACATAAACTTCCAAGCCAGAATTAAGTCTGAAGTGTTATTTTTCAACACATCTGAAACTTGGACCTCTGCCATCACACAAACCCGAAGGGCATGATCTGCACAATTGTTTATACAGGTAGTCCTCGGATTATGACCATATGCAGTACTGCAGGCTACTTCTGCCGGCTGCCGGTTGAGCCAACCCAATTCAACTCAGCTTTTAAATCTATTGTGTGTTGGAAGTGGTGGACAAGTGCCTGTCCCCACTTGGCGTGAGTAGCAGGCAAGCACGTGTGTGCTCCACTTGCACAAGTAACAAGGTGTCTATGCCAGCCACTTGTGCAAATGGAGCTGAGCATGAGTGCTTGCCCACCATGCACAGGGAACCATCCCCTTTGCTGCTGCCCACCCATCCATCCACAAGGCTGAAAAGGTTGGGGAATTCTGAATTAAGGATCAGATGAATTTGAATTAAAAAAAAACTTTGCGGTTAATTAAAAGGCTCTTCTCTGGTGTGGAAAAATGTTTGCTTACAAGCTGATAACAAGATTTTGAAGTATGGACATTAGAGACCACCAATGACTATTTTAAAGGAAAAGTTTAGCACCTGGTTACAAGAGGGTGTCAAGCTTTTTAACTTGATAATGGAATCAAAAGCTATTATTGAAGAGGAACAAGCCCTGCTGAATAAAATCAAGAGATTCTATCCGGAGCTCCGGATGTGTCCTTGGACCTTTCACTGGGAGCTCTAGAAGCGGCCCTGCTAGGCCTTGAGCTAACCCCCGCTTGGGCAGAATGCTGGGCATCGGTAGAGGGCTCTACAATACCTCCCGAGGTGGATTGGTCAGCCATAGACAAGGAAAAGACTCAACCGCATTGATCAGAGTTTACTAGAAACGAAAGTCAGGCCTCGTGGCGAGCAGGAGCTAGGCAAAAAACGATCCTCTCACTGAATCAGCCAAGCTGAAGTGAGGGAAGTGGGAGGGCTGATGACGTAGTTGCTTCCTTTGGCGTGAAGCCTCGCAACGCCCTCTGGTGGCTGCCTGCAAGCGCGAGCAAACAAACGGCCCCAAAATGGTGACCGCAACTGAGGCGCGAAATTCAAATCCGGCAGCAGCCCACAATACCATTCCCAGGCCCACCGCTCATCGGGAGCCCTCAGCGGGAGCCCTCAGCAGAGCCCGCGTTTTACCCAAGGGAATACCGGGCAGCAAAGACGCTCAAAAAAGCACGCCTCACAAGACGACTCCAATTCAAAGCGATCAGCGCGGGCGGAGAAACGGCCCCAGGCGCAAACGGCAAGGATGGAAATGCGGCGGCAGAGCGAACTCACGCCGGCAGCAGCGGCCGCTGGCTCCAATTGCAAAAGCCCCACAAGCCTGTGAGCCCGGGTGATGCAAGAGCTTCAGGAAGGTCTGGACAGGCAGCGAACTGCCATCTCTCCCTTTATACCTGCAACAAGTTGCCTCAGAAGCCTCCAACTGCTGGTTGAATCCAATACAAGGTAATCCTTTGTCAATTAGTCTGGAGAAAATTGATGTACGTCTCTTCTGGCTGGACTGAGTTAAAAAACTGACCCATACAGTCAGAGGAGGTGTGGTCACCAATTTACATAACTCAGTCTCTAGGCTAATGGACAAAGTTAACCCATGCTTGGATTCCCCAAGCAGCACACAGGAGAAGCACAGATGATCCTCAGAGGGAGCTCCAGTGACTAAAGCAGGCAAAGCGGGGAAGGGGTAAGTGAAGGCAGCAGCTGTTCTGGGTAGCCATTTTGGGCACTGCACCTCAAGCATTTGGAGGCTGAAAATGCAATGCGCCGAGCCCAAAAACACAAGCCATTGTTGGTGGCAATCTCTGCAGCCAGGAAGAGAATGCGTGGAGGCCGAAGGGTAGGCCCAGCGGGTGAGCGGGGCTACATTCGGAGTATAAGACGCACCCAAATTTTCAGCCTCTTTTAGGAGGGAAAAAGTGTGTCTTATACTCTGAAAAATACAGTAGATCGTGATAGATATTTTTGGCAATGTTTAATTGGATGCAATGGATTAAATTGTAAAGCTATTCTGTGTAACAACAGGCTAGAAAAGCTGGGTAATGTGGGGCCAGTCACTCTCTTAGACCAATCCACCATAGTGATATTGTTGTGAAAATAGAGGAAGTAGGTGTGTTGGAAATGTTTGCTACCTTGAGATACTTATAAAAATAACAAAGGCGGGACACAAATATATTAATTTTAAAAATTTAATTGGAATTGGATTTTGATTATTTGAAGAGAGGGATCAGAAGGAATTTGTGTAAATGGAAATAGAGATATGATTTTAAAGTTGTTATTTCTGTTAGCCTTTACTGGACTTTTGCTGATTAATAAGGAGATTGAAGATTTAGAGATGAGTTTATAGAAAGTAGGGTGAGGTATGGAATGAAGAAGCATTTAGTTCTATTTTAAGAGACAGTGGTAAGATAAAGGGGGAAGTTTCTTCTTAATTTTTTCTTCTCTTTATTATAAGAGGGGAGGAGACTGTGGGTAATTGGGTATTTATTTTGTGCTTGTTAATAATCACAACGAAATTAAGTAAATTGTTAAAAAAGAAAGAAAAGACAAAAATTAATACAGTATCTCTGCACAATAGGCAGTGAATGGACTGTTTGGGAAAGGACTTTTTCAATAGCATAGTCCAACCCATTGGCAACTTGCCTTGGCCTGCTGTGTGTTTTTTTCTGGTGTCAGAGGATGCCTCTTAAAATGGTAGAGCCTTTTCTTTAGAATGTCAGGGTCCTGAATGTCAGGGTTAAAACTTGTTTAAAATATTTCTTTGTGCTGCTTGAAATATTCTGCTGCACTAACTTTATTCTCTGCCACAATATTTGTTTATGCTATGTTATATTTGCCATTGTTAATAATTCCCCATTATTGTTCTTATAAGCCTGTCCAGCATTGTTAGCAAGCAACAGCATAAGAGTATCGTTAATCAGTCCAAGTGGAGATGGGATCTATTTGTTCTTCATTTTAAAAGGATGTGCACACAAATTATGCTTTTCTGGGATAAAAACAGGCAGATCCAAGGACAGATGGGATCAGGGTGCAAAGGCATTCTATTCTCACCAAGGTCCCAATATAGGCACCCAAATTAAAAATGGCCATAGTGCAAAAGTGCTTTGCCATACCAGTCTTTTTTTCAATTTCCCACTTTAGTCTACACCTCTTATAGTCTTTGGAAATCTGTCATACTAATGTTGATCATCAAGAGAAAAAAATTATTTTTATTTCCTTTATCAAACCCTATCTCTCTGGGGCACACTGGTTCCCGGAAATAGAGATTCATTAATTTCATTCATTTATTCATGATGTCTCTGTGGCCACCCAACTCAACAGTTGCCATTCTGAGCAACTTGCAAAGGGTTTACATTAAGACTGGGGTGTCAAACTCAAGGCCCGTGGGTCAGATCCAGCCTGTGAGATGGTTAGATCTGGCCCACAGAACTGCCTGAGAAACAGCAAAGGACCAGCCCATGGGGCACTGAACTGCGACCTGGTGGCAGCAATCCAAGCCAGATTGCGTCCAGCCTTAGATCCTTGGAGCACCTTGGGCCTGCTCCATGAAATCATTGACCTGTGAGCACAAACGGCGGTGGCTGACGGTTTCTGGCTGCAGCCCCCCTGCCTCCCTGCTTTGCCTCATCTCATTCCACAGAACAAGTCTCCCACCCACTGCCCCACCTGCTGGAGACCTCTAGATTCCCTCTCTAATTTCGCTTGGCCCCCACAGGAACCTCGCACACGAGCAACATCAAGCTGGCCATGCTCCGTGGGCCATGCCCAGTCGGCCGCGACCACCCTGGCCACATCCCTCCCCCGGCGGACAACTATAATGCTGATCTGTCCCTCAATGAAACTGTGTTTGACACCCCTGCTTTAAGAGAACAAAACAGAATCAGCAAGAGTAAAAACAATAAATACAGTTGAACCAATAATATTTCATGCTTCCATCTCATTGCAATATCTCGGACCAAAGCCCAGGGAAGAACCAGGTCTTCAAGGCTTTAGGGAGGGGCCATCCAAATTTAAATAAGAGGTTACTCTTATTATTCAGCCTTGGAACCAGTTTTTTTAATGTCAATGATTGATTGTGGCACAATTCACGAATCACCAGTCATGTTTAAATTCATTAAAGCACACAAAAAGACATAAATAGGCAAAGTGGGCTGTATCTCTGAGAATTCTTTGCCACTTCTGTAATGATGAGAGTGATGGAAGCCAAAAATTGCCTACGCCTACGTTAAAGGAACTCTGTCTTCCAAAACTAATTGCAGGCTCTCAGTGGCCATAAACTAGCAGGGAGATAAGAACCCATGCGTTTGTCCTTATAAATGTGCCTATTACCTTCAGGAGATGTTGTGCTGTGTAGAATCCAGCTGGTCCACTGCCTACAATACATATTCGAGGTCTGAACTCGGCTGTGGAAAGAAGCCGCTTGATGCCTGAGAGCAGAGAAAAAGAAGAAATTACGTATAGGTCGTCCTTGACTTACAAACATTTTGTTTACTGACCCTCTAAAGTTACAACAGCATTGAAAAAAATAACTTGTGACAATTTTTCACACTTACATGACTGTTGCAGCATCCCCACAATCAAAATTTGGATGCTTGGCAATTAGTTCATATTTATGATGGTTGAGCTGTCCTCATTGCACAATTTTTGTGACTTTTTGACAAGCAAAGTTAATGGAGGAGCTAGATTCACTTAACAACACTGTTACTAACTTAACAACTGCACTGGTTCGCTTAACAACTGCGGCAAGAAAGGTCGTAAAATGGGGCAAAGCTCACTTAAAAACTATCTTGCTTAGCAGCAGAAATTTTGGGCTCTATTGTGGTTGTTAAGTCAAGGACTGCCAGTAGTCCTCCAAGTTCAGTCTGGAAGCTGCTGGAATAATCTACCAGAAAAAATATGATAAACTCTGAGAGAATGAGAGAAAAGAGTGAGCCACGAAGAAGATACATTTACAACTATGGCTCACTGCCTTCAAATTCAGTTCTAACCCAGACAGCTGATGATCCCAATTCTCTTTGTTTCTTGAACTGAAAAAAATAACACAGTACAAGCTCGCAGGCGGCGAGCGGCCGGAAGGGGCAACCAAGTGGCTGGAAGGGGTGAGTGGCGACCGGGTGGGGGTGGCCGGGGCCAACTAGGGGTGATTTTTACCAGTTTGACAAACTGATTCAAATAATCCCTACCGGTTTGTCCAATCTGGTCGAATTTAACCCCTGCTTTGGTCTGCTTAATAACACGATGCACCAGACATGATTTTGTATGATTTGTTCCTGTAGAAAGCTTAAGCTTCCAATAAATTGTTATGTTCACTTGAACTGGCTGAATCTCCTGATTTCCCTGGCACTTGAGAAACGGCCTTAAAGATTATAACACCACCTTGAATTGAATCTGGAAGCAAACTGGTGGAACAGCAATGTAACCTAGGCCACCATAGGGCGCCCATGCAGCTGTTTTCTGGCAATTGCTGCTCAATTGTTGTTCAGTGGTTTCCAACTCTGTGACCTAGCAGACATCAATTCACCAGATTTGTCTGTCAAGAACGACTTTTGATTTTTCTAAAGATCACGTCTTATTCAATAATTTTTGCTTTTGCTTTACCTTTAGCTCTTGCCAATGCAGCCTTGGAACACCTTCTGCAATAAGTAACTGAGAAACAATTCCACTCTGCTATTCTTCTCCCATCATGTAATATTTAGAAATTGGTTGGACTTTTGAGATGCATTTATATTTTTTATGATAAGCAAGAAATGAAGAAGATAAGAAACAGATAGAAAGATAAGATAAAGATTCAGCTGGTGTTAGTTATAAATCCTTATGAAAGCTGTGAATTATAAAATATAAATTAAAATATACAAACTAAGATATCTAAAAATGCTATCTACACATTCAAATAAAGGGTTAGTACAAGCTTGGAACAACAATTGCCACTTAATTGTTATGAAATCCATCATAATGATCTTACCATTTTGTATCATTGCATGACTTTATAGTCTCTTGGTGTTTACATTATCCATTGCACTGCAGATTCCTTGACAATGTACTTATCTATGACAATAAATTAATTCATAACCTCATTCCTTATGCTGTATTTTAACACTAACACTATTGCTGGTGTAAAATCTTTCATTCATTACAGCAAAAATAAATTAATAAAGCCAGAGACCAGAGATCATAGAGTTAATCAGGGATGTGAAGGCCTAGACACGGGCAGCCTAACCCTAACCCTAACCCTAACCTTGACATTTATTGATTTTTATTTTTGCACTATAACATGCAAAGAAATGTCCAAGTATGTTGCTAAAAAAGAATCTTACAAATACTGCTTCTATCATTCATTCGCTGTCTCTGGATATCAGGAAATTGATGAGAGAAAAAAGTATTTCACACATAACCTTTACTTTTCACTTGAGCTTAAGTCCTTTCAGATCTTTCATTTACCTTTATGCTGGAGGGAGAAAAATGTTGAGAAAAACCTGGGCTGCCAGAAGAACATATTATTCGACACATGGATGGACTTTAAAAATTGTAGCAATGGGTTCTCTGCCCAGCTGCTGGGTGAGCAGATAACCACCTAGTCGGCCTCCTGCACCATGGCAGGGGGGTGTTTTTGTCCCCCTCAGGCTCCAGAGCAGTGGTAGTCAACCTGGTCCCTACTGCCCACTAGTGGGCATTCCAGCTTTCATGTGGGCGGTAGGGGTTTGCTGCAACTTTGCTTTATAAATTTTATAAAGTAAAGTTACTTCCCTACTTTATAAATCACCATTACTGTGGAACTGGTGGGCTGTTAGAAAATTTTACTACTAACAGATACAAAAGTGGGCGGTAGGTATAAAAAGGTTGACTACTCCTGCTCCAGAGGCTTTCTTTGACCCTTCGGAAGGGCAAAAATACCCTCCCCCGGGCTCCGGAGGCTCCCTGGAGGCCGGAAATGGACTCATTTCTGGCCTTCCAAAGTCTCCAGGAGGCCCGCTTTTCATGCTCCC